ACTTATAGCATTGGTTCTCTTACAAGGATCTGATGGTGGAGAAGAAGACAAGTGTCCTCCTTGGCACTTCACTCCAACAAACGCCACTACACCATGTTCTGGGTGTAGTTTACCAGATTTATCCCATGTATACTGCACTGAAACAAGTGGACTCATTGATGTGAGTTTGGTCATGAGTGCAAGAAATGGCTCACTGTTTTTTGGCCAAGTACATTTTGAACTGGACCGGACAAAGTGGTTATATGACAAAAATTATATTTTCACAAAATTGCCTTCAAATGTCTCTGAGTTGGAAACTTACTTCTGCAGTAGCAGCAACAGACAAGGATTTCTCTGTGGTCGTTGCAAACCAGGTTGTGGGATATCCATTTACACCTACTATGGCCTACCTTGTGCATGTCCTTGCTACAGTTATGGAATACCACTCTTCATCCTGCTTAAAACAGGATTCTCCACTCTCTTCTTTGTGGTGTTGATGCTGCAAAACCTTTCAGCAAACTCTAGCACGTGGATCACTGTCATACTGTTCTTTCAAATAACTGCCCATCTAATAGGCAATGACACCTATACCTACACCATACTGGCTAAGAGTGGTCACTGGGTACCTATTGCAATCCATACATTGTATGGGATCTGGAATATGGACTTCTTGAGACTAGTGATACCACTGTTTTGTGTTAGCCAGGGAGTGAGTGTACTGGGAGCCATCAGCACTGGCTACATCTCTGCCTTCTGGCCTCTGGTGTTGATAGTCCTTACTTCATTGGCAATGCATCTGCACAAAACAAACTTCAAAATAGTTGTCTATCCATGGAAATTCATGAATTGGACATCCCGTGGTTTTATTCAACGGCAGTTAGCCGAGACAAACCTCATCAACACCTTTGCCACCTTCTTTCTTTTCTCTTAGCTACTTGAAAATTGTTTATGTCTCCATTTTACTTTTTGCACCTTTTAAAATATACGGTCTTCATCGTACGTTTCCAAGGACCCATACGTCCCCTATATGAGGAGTGGCCATCTGTTCTATGCTGTTCCTGCAACTCTGGTATTTACCCTGATTGGAATACTGTTGCCTCTTGTCCTGATTCTCTACCTGACTCGCTGTGGAACATGGCTTGGTATTAGACTGCAGTCTGGAAGATTACGTATTGCAGTCAGGACACTTCATTGACGCAATGAATGGTAGTTGCAAAGACGGTTCAGCTGGAACAAGAGACTATCGTGCACTCCCAGTCTCCTGTTGTTATTGAGAGGTACTTTTGCGTCTTCTGCCTCATTGAGAGGGGTTAAAATTTCTGCAGAGATCTTTTGTTTCTTATGTGCAGCATTCCTACTAATGGTACTGGCAGCATTTTCTGGCGTACTAAAACCATACAAGGCAACACGACACAATCTTTATGACGTTTTGTTGCACTGTCTTGCTGCGATGTTGTGCATCATAGTATTTCGGATTCTGTCTGCCCCTGAAAATGAAACAGAAGTCGGGCATAGTGTAGCAGTCCTAATGTTCCTTCCCTTATTAGTTGTTATAGTTGGTGTTCTAAAGCGTCTCGTCATGAAACACATCTAGCTGTTGTGACTGCTATGACTTGAGTTTTTTTATTTTGAGTTTAAGTCATCATACAAAATGGCATAATCGTAAACTGTCACGCTTTTCCCCTACTCTTCACCTTCATCTTGTGATTGTATTATGCATACCATCTGCATAGTTAGCCAGTATTAAAACTATGTTTGAAAGAACAACCTGCTATTATATATACTGAAATTATACTGAAAGTCTCTGCTCTTCTTGTAATCCTCAATTATGTATGGCAAGTGACTGTGTCACAACTTGACTTAAGACTTCCTTTTCTCCTTTACCACTTGGCTTATGATGCTCTGCTGATGACTATAACCTACTGTCATCAACAGTGGCTACAAACACCCACTTGTAGTGTCGTCAGTCATGAGCAACAGCAGAAATGTTCATCCTAGCACATAGTTGGAGGTGTTAGTGGCAGCTTGTGAGGTATAGTCTGTTGCCATGTATATACATACTTACATGAGGCAGGACATAATTATTACTTGGCATGAGGTAGGGCACATAAAATAGCCACTCTTGTATTATTCTTACCTGATCCAACACCCTGTAAAACTGTGAGGGCATGTCTGTGTACTTTTAACATACGTTCCTACAGTAGCTCCTGACAGACGGCAGAATAATTTTCAGTTCCAGTGTATGTATACATCTCATAGCAAAAAAAAGGGCCGTGGACAGTTTCAAGCAACACGGGGGGGGGGTAAGATAGTGCTTGTGGTTTTACCCAGAAGTACAATACTATAGATCTTGTCCACAGACACAGTAGTGGCTCCAACTGACATGTAACGATGTCCAAACACTGCCATGAACCCCAAATTAGTCCTGTTCCCAGACCCCTCCCCTTTAAATAGTATCTTAGTATCTGTAATAATTGTCACATTACGGTGTATTTGTGCAGTTCATTATTCGAAATCATTCCACAAGAAAGAGCTCAAAACTTACTAGCACACAGTTGCTATTTTACAGTTGTCCCATAAGAAAAAACAGTAACAACATTAAAGTATGGGCTATTGAAGTGTTTGATAAGCATTAGAGTCCTCCAGTCTGTGTGGTATGTCGCTGAATGAGACTCCATTGTTTGGTGACCGATGAAAGAGTGAGAGCCACATCCTATGAGCCAACTCCAGTCTGCTTTTGATGCAAGGAATTAGAATCATACACTTGTACACAACTGTAATTGCAGCAACAATGTGAGGTAATAGGGAAAAAAATGTAAACAAAGACGCAAGAACTTTGTCTGACATAACTTGTCCTTCAAACCATAATGTCACTATGAACACATTTATTGCAATGACTGTTGCATGAAAACTCATGGAAACATTCACGTATGTTGACTTGTAGGGCTTTATATATGCAAACATAAAGCCTAACATTATGAATGTAAGTGCAAAAACACAGTGAAAAAACTGTCGCAGCTCAAAGTTGTAGGAAGGGAAACAGAACAAACATACATAACCCAGCAATCATTGGAAGAGAAGTAAGAAATCGATAGTCGTATGTATTGTTGAGACCGTCCTTGTAACAGTTTGAAAATGTCTCAACAAATGTATTGAGCATCAGTTGGGTACGTGGCCGTATTGGGCAACATTTCCTAGACAATCTGGTTGAATTAAGACAGAGAATTAGTGTGGGACATACACCCAGTACCAGAAGAAGAAGAATTGCAGGGAGAGCATAGGGCAGGTGGCCCACGCTGAACCATTTAATGTCAGTGTCATACATTAACACCGTCTTTACAACTTCCCCACTCTCATCATATGCATTCAGAGCATACACAATGGAATAAGAGAGATAAATGAGATAAAAGAATGAGAGAAAGTAAAACGTTGCATAGGCATGGATAATAGAATCACTGACACTCCGTTTCCTTTCAATGTAGCAAAACATTCTTTTAAAATAGTTTGAAGCAAACGTTACCAGCCGGCAATTTTTTGCCCGCAACTCTATACAAAAACAAGTTAACAAAATAAGTAGCAATGGATAAAGGCAGAAAATGTATTCAAGATAAAGCACCTGGATTTCTGATAAAGAGTGATGCAGGCATGTTGGACTTAGATGATAGTATATACCAATGAAATACTGTGACAATCCAGAGAGCAAAATTGATAGGTTCAGGGTAAATTTTCCAAATGACCCCATACTACTCCCCATAATGTAGTATAAACCAGTGTAGACCTTTACAGATGCAATATAACACTGGCAAAATATGATGTAGGGTAAGAGAAAGCCCGATGGAAAGTTTATGTGAAATACAATGATTAAAACAAAGCAGACTGTCATGGGAAGAACACCAAATATCACCAATAATCCAACTGCATAGGTAGTGTTGCACTTTGCACAGCTTTTGCTATATGAGTTAGGGGCATAGCCATAACCTGATACACATTCTCCGCACAAAAACCCTTTCCTCTTGGAGTTGCTGCACATGAATTCATTCAATGCTGATACATTCTCTGGAAGCAATGTGTACCCTCTAAAACTGCGACCAATGAACACATTGTTAGTATTTCCTGCAACCAGTTGAAGTCTGCCAGAGACGTTGCTGAAAGTCATGCAGTAGTTTAGAGCTATTGATACCTCTTTTGTGGCGTTGTTACATTCAATTGCTCCTTTGAGACTGCTCCCACATTCACAATCAGACGAGTTAGGAGATAGATGAAACCAGGTTGGACATATATCATTCTCTTTACAGCTGACTGTTATAAGCATCAGTATTAGATAGTACCACTTCATGTTGCTAACTGAATCGTAAGCTGCTAGCCTACCAATCTGCCTGTATTAATAGTGGATGTATAATAACTGTATGTATGTACACAGATGGCTGCGCTGGACATGGTCAGCAGTTGTGTTTCCTGCTTTCCTGCTTCTGTAGGTGTTTCAGTTTATACTTCCACTTTCAGGTTTTCCAATTCTAAAGTTATCAACAAACACCACGTGTTGTTATTCTTGTAGCTTTATGCCACTAAAGCACATGGTACACCTGTATCAAGTTACATGCCGATGCTACGCTAGGACATACAGCATACAAAATGAGAGGCATAAGTGACAAAAACCCGATATTTGTCAGAGCAAAACAATACGCAAAAAAATAATAATACAAGTGGAAATATCATTTATTCAATAGGAAGGGGGGTATAGGGACGGCTCATTGCACAAAAAGGAAGGGAAAAGGGTTTGCTAAAGAGCAAAAACACAAAGCTACATGATAGCTACCATCCCTATATCCTTGTCTGACATTATTTTGCCTATGAGTCTATAGGATAAAGATGTAGGGATGGTATCATTTGCATTATGTGTGTCTTTGCTTTTTGACAAAAACCCTTGTTCCTTCCATTTTGGTGCTTTGAGCCATCCCTTGCAGAGACTGGGACATGTCCAGTTGACGTGACACCTTCGACAAGTCCAGGCAGTCCAACTCCATCTAAGAAGACTACTGAGCATGCCCACCAAATCCTGAAACGTTGGACGATAACAACACCTGGTGTTTGTTGATGACTTTAGAAGTGGCAAACTTTAAAAAAGTGGTAGTATAAACTGAAACACCAACGAAAGCAGGAAAGCAGGAAACATAACTGCTAGCCATGTTACTACTTACTTTGTTAACTTGTTTTTATATAGAGTTTGGTAGTGTTTGCTTCAAACTATTTTAAAAGAATGTTTTGCTGCATTGAAAGGAAACGGAGTGTCAGTGATTCTATTATTCACGCCTATGCAACATTTTACTTTCTCTCATTCTTTTATCTCTCTTATTCCATTGTGTATGCTCTGCATGTATATGATGAGAGTGGGAAAGTTGTAAAGACGGTGTTAATGTATGACACTAACATTCAGTGGTTCAGCGTGGGCCACCTGCCCTATGCTCTCCCTGCAATTCTTCTTCTTCTGGTACTGGGTGTATGTCCCACACTAATTCTCTGTCTTAATTCAACCGGATTGTCTAGGAAATGTTGCTCAATACGGCCACATACCCAACTGATGCTCAATACATTTGTTGAGACATTTTCAAACAAGGACGGTCTCAACAATACATGCGATTGTCGATTCCTTACTTCTCTTCCAAAGATTGCTGGGTTTTACGGTACGTTTGTTCCGTTTCCTTCCTACAACTTTGAGCTGCGACTGTGGTTTTGCACTTACATTCATATAATGTTAGGCTTTATGTTTGCGTTTATAAAGCCCTACAAGTCAACATACGTGAATGTTTCCATGAGTTTTCAAACAACAGTCATCGTGTTCATGATGACGTTATGGTTTGAAGGACAAGTTAGACAAAGTTCTTGCGTCTTCGTTAACATTTTCCCCCTATTACCTCACATTGTTGCTGCAATTACAGTTATGTACAAGTTTATGATTCTAATTCCTTGTATAAAAAGCAGAGTGGAGTTGGCTCATAGGACGTGGCTATCACTCGTTCATCGAACACCAAACAATGGAGTCTCATTCAGCGACATACCACACAGACTGGAGGACTCTAATGCTTATCAAACACTTCAATAGCCCATACTTTGATGATGTCACTGTTTTTCTTATGGGACAACTGTAAAAGGAATGATTATGTAAGAGATAATGTGCGTTTAGAGTTCTATACGTGATTTATGGGAACGAGGGGTGTGGTCGAGAGACTCATAAAGCACGAGGCGCAGCCGAGTGCTGTATGGGTCTCGAGACCACAACCCGAGTTCCCATAAGTCATGTATAGAACAATAGGACGCACATTATGTGTTTTATTGTGACTTTGTAGCAGCCGTCGCCCTCCAGCGAGAGAAATGCGCGTTACCAGCAATCTGCCTAGTTTAGCGGTCACGGTGTTATTTCTGTACTTAGTTTGCTGTGCGCCATGTAAACATGTAAACCAGCTTGTTTACGTGTTATTCTTCGTCGCGCATGCGGACAGAACGGCGGTTACCATAGCTACCGGCATCTCTATCTTAGTATTTCTCGAAGGAAGACGGTGGATACGCCAGCTCTTCGCTACACCACTCTGTGTTGGAGAAGGTTTGACATGAAAAAAGTTGTGATGGATGTCTGCCTGCCCTTCTGATGGTGTTATCCAACAAGGAACGGCCCGACCTCTACGCCTGTCCTTTGCCGAGCGGAACCATCTTCCAGAGACTGACTTTTTCTGTTTTTAGTGAATGTGGTTATTGACACTCATTTGAATGTATGTTGGTGGATACCAAAGCACCTTCGAGTCCACTGCACGTGAGAAGCTGCGTGAGAAAAGCCACAACAGGCGGGGCGTTTGCTTGGTTGTATATACGACTGAGAGAGGCTTTGGCCGAACCATTCTTGTGTCTGTAGGCTTGAAGGTTCCACTACTGATGTGCAGGTAGCGTACTAACTGAAACACTGCGTCGTCTGCCAGATAGGTGAGAGTTTCGGTTGTGCCGGCCGGATGGACGCATCAGCGTGCATGAGCGGTGACTGTAGTACGAGCCAGCTAGGTATAACCTTTAGAGTAGCGGGGAAAACTCTGTAGCGGTGCAAAAGGTAGGCCTATTTCCCCAGAAACCCATAACACTTTTCAGATGACAGTAAGTGGCGTGAGACACAGAAACGCGTCTTCCCGGTTCCTCGAGGGAGACGGGATCCAAATTTTACCGATTTTCAACTGCGTTTGGCCGCTTAACTTTGTATATAACCAACATATTTTTTTGGTTCATCTCAAACTTTAGACTCTCTTCTACAGTTCTAGACGTTCGGACCTCAAAATAGAGTAAGCATGGCCGCTCAAATAAGGTTTAGACCCACACGGATTTTGAAATTTCATTCAAAATGTCAATGGGGAACGCATGCGGTGCGGGAGATTGTAGTTGGCCGAAAGACTAGCTGCTCCACGGTGAATATTTTGTGCTTGGGCAGTGGAGGAGTGGTCGTTCTTGACTTCTAGACGTTCGGACCTCTCCGGAGTTGGTAGACCATCAAGCAACGCTGCAAGAAAGTTTATGTTCTCGTTGAACTCCATACATTTCACCCGCGCGGATTTTTTTTACATTCCAGAGGCATGTTTTCTTGTAATGTCCGCGGATTCCTGGTAACGACATAGCATGCGCACGTGCGCACTCGTTAGGTTCTCGAGCGAGTTTCTGTTCTGAGGCTACCACAATCGAACAAGGTCGTGGTGGTGGCTCTTTCTCCCTCAGAGAAACTCGTTTCAAAGGTCGCTGGGCCGTTTGACCGGTCGGTGTGCCGCGGCCACGGTCGCGCTTGCCACTGGGAGCAAGAGATAGCTGAATGAAGGGGTGTGGTCGCCTCAGCCATCCCTCGCCTCTACAGCCTCTACAGAACACGATGCTGATGATAGTTCAATATTGGCCATATTGAACGCGACTACAATACGGGAAATAAGAGTATGCGCGGCACCTTTGATCCGCCCACGCAAGTCACAATAAGATGTAATAATGAACTCCACAAATACACCTTAATATGACAATATTTTACAGACACTAAGATACTATTGCATGTGAATTTTACAGAAGCAAGCAAAACTGCATTTGTATACGAGAACATATAATCCTCAGAAAGTTCATGGAATTATTAGGTTAGGGTTAGCTACCTGATATCTCTTCTTTGTCTGCTCTATCAGGCGGCTATTGATATTATCTGAGATGAGCCTTATACAGTAGGGCAGCGGATAATACTTGTTCCTCCTTAAAGCACTGCTCTAGGAGACAGGTCCCTACGGGTAGTATAGTGTCACAGATATATTGGTCTTGATTTATCTTTCAGTTCAGCTTGTTTCAGCTTCTTAGCTATTCAGCTAATCACTCAAATCAGTGTTCCTTATTGCATCATTTGCTTGTATATATTTCCAAGTCAATGTTCACGCAGGGAGGTGTGATGGTGTTGTAGTCAATGGCCAGTCTGTCAATTGACAGCTCTCTGGGAAAGGGATTAAGGATAAGTACTGTAAGTGTTCGTATAACTATTCTGATTTGTATTGAAAAATGTCTTGTTGAGACATCCTCCAGTGTTTCTCCTGAACTTTAAAAATCTGTATTAGTTTTTGTGTCTAATTTTTTTCTCTCTGCTGGAAATGATGTCTGGTGGTACTTCTTGTCCATTTGTGAAAGCGATGTAATGTTATCCTTGTGATGCAAGGGCTTTCTTCAGTAATTATACAGTTTGTTGATCAAATTAGACCACCAGGGAAGGTAGCTCTACAGAATGCTGATCCAAACATGAAGGAAGAGCACTTGGTTAAATCCACCTCCTGTATGGTTGGTTGGTTGGTTATCTCTCGCACATGTCTTCAGAGAAATGGAGGGCCCTATTCTAAAATAAGTATCCAATGTACTTTCTTTGTAATTGGCGAGCAAAGTGAGCCTACCTAGTCATTTCAATGCGGGAATTTTTAACTATCGGTCGGGCCATGTCACTTATACCTTAATGATCTTCTTATTATAAATACGCGCAAAACACGCGAAATAGTTATCTGCTTGCGCTCGCGCGCCAGCAATTAGCACACATCTATTGGTGCAAGTGCAAAAATCATTTCTTCAAAATGAAGGGGATACAGCCATATAGGGATGGCTCAAAGAAAGAAACAATGGGTAATTTTACACAGCTAAGACACACAAATGCACATGACACCATCCCTATATCTTTGATCGTACTTCCCTATTAAAAGACATTTTGACCTGTGCATGAGTGTTATGTCTACATAAAATCCCGTAATCTGACCAGACTAGTTACATGGTCCATATTGTTGCATGTTTCATGTTCTATGGCTGAGTGGTACTTTGGCATTCTACATTTCAGACTTGGCTGTGTTATCCTGGAGACTGACAACAAGAGAAAATGTTTAGAACTCAAAAAATCTTTTCTGCTTACAATCACAAAGCACACACACACACAGGGCCAGACATAATGACAAAATCATTATTGAGCTCATTAGAATTTCTTCAAAATGAAAGGGGGATATAGGGATGGCGTGAAGCACCAAAAAGGAAGAAACAAGGGGTCATTACACACCAAATATGCACAAAGCCACATGACACCATCCCTATATCTTTGTCTCATATTAAACTTTGCTTATGAACAATAAAACAAAGATATAGGGATGGTGTCATGTGGCTTTGTGCACATTAGGTGTGTAATGACCCCTTGTTTCTTCCTTTTTGGTGCTTCACGCCATCCCTATATCCCCCTTTCATTTTGAAGAAATGATTTTTCCACTTGTTTCCACTACTTTTAAATTATAGAGCTGTGGAAAATGCGCATGCGCATTATAGTTAGACCACGTGGTGGAAAGCTGCCATCGTTCGGCGTTCTCCAGTTCCGTGAGTTGCTATTTTACTATCATGCCTCCATGTAAGGCATGCCCACACACAGTGTACCAATAAGGCTGAAAGTGTGTAAATCTTGCGAACATGTCTTTCGAGCCAAGAGAAAAGCAGAGCATAATTTGCCAGACAAAGCCATGAAACGCATGCGAGTCTTACAGTCAGATAATGTCAAATCAGCTATGAAGGCTAAAGATAAGTTGCATAAGTGGCGTCAGAAACTAGCGAGCAAACTGTGCATAGACAACAGCAGAATAGAAAGCACATGGCAAGCATGAGAGCTACTGAAACAATCGAGCAAAGACGAGAAAAAGACAGAAGCAACAAAGCAAGCATGAGAGCAAGCATAGACAAAAGAATAGAGAGCACATGGCAGGCACGAGAGCAACTAAAAAAGCAAGCGATGTGTCTGTACAACAAGCTATTATGTCATTACATTCTGATATCAAGAATGGACCCGATTTTGTTTGCTCATGTTGCCAATGTATAGCAAGAGTGTTGTTCCATGTAACCTAGCTAAATATACCAAGTGCACCAACAACTTGCTGGAATGTGTGTCCAGTGCTGAAAATGAGTGGATGTGTAAACCCAGCCCATCAATTAGTGGTATATACTGCGCATGTGTTTACTTACGTGTGCGCGTCACCATGCGCCCAGGGTTTGCTTTTCATTGGGTTTGTCTGTCTGTTACATCTCACTTCTCCAATGTTCGTTCGTCTCACAAACGATACGACTTACTTAACGGCCAATGAAGGTCAGATAGTTTTGCGGTTTTCTCTGAAAATGCTCCGTTGCAAAGCTAGAGCGCTTCCACTATTGTACGGCAGTAGTCGCCTGCGGAAAATGCGCATGCGGTTATTATGCTAATTCGACCGGGCCGCTTGCTCTCAGTCTGTCTATCTTGAAGGCACAAGAAGTCACAACGAAGGGTGTGTATCGTATCGACTACGGCATGCTATCTACAACTGTAGCTAGCCCGTGTCAGACTCTCCGCGAGCTATACTAGCGGGAGACCACCACGAAATAGCCCAGCCCATCAATTAGCAGTACCGCGCATGCGCAGTTCGCCGAAGGTTTGCACTGTAGTGCTCTTCATTCAGTATGGCAGTGTTCCGCTTGGGATAGCTGCTGAAGAGGGACATACTGAGACTGTCCAGAGACTGTTGGAGGCAGGAGCAAACCCCAACGACCAGACCAAGGTGATAACTGACTGTCACATCATCATTGTGGATTAGCTACACTCACACAACAAGACTTTAATATTTGCACCATTGATAGCATGTCTGCATGCATGCCATCATGATGATAAGTGGTTGTTTGAGATTACTAAAGTACGTTCGCCCTGAGAATGCACCTTCAAAATCTAGAATAACTTCCGATTCCAGCACCTTATGTGGCCACGCTTGGAATCGAAATGTAGCGCTTAACACTCCGGTTCGTTCAGCACTTACCCCATTCAAATCCGCTGTGTAGTTGTTTTTTTCGTTATGCACGTTATGCATAATCCCTTACATTTCTACGGCATACTTTACATACGACGAATAGTACCGCCCTCCTCATTATCTACTTCCTCATGCATTCTCAGCACAAATGTACTTTAGTGTTATGTTTAACACCACGTGTTTTGACTAAGCACACAATTAACAAACAATATACAGTGGAGAGTGTAAGACATAACTCGCATGGTGCAGTTTGCAAAGAATCTCCATTGTTTAACACCACATGTTTTGATGTATGTGCATATGACACCATGGGGGTTGACGGGGTTCTTTTTCTTAGGAATAGGAGGTAGAGAGACCAAATCTTTTAGTGACACAGAATGTTACTCTTTGCTTGCAGAATGGTTGTAGTCCAGTGTATGTAGCCAGCCAGAATGGCCACACAGATGTAGTGGACCTACTAGTCCAGGCAGGAGCTGACATCCACCTGGCTGTCCATGAGGTATACATTAATACACACTGCAGTGTCCTCCTCAGCAGAAGTAGTAGTTGTGAAATTATTGTCAGACTGATTGAGTGTGCCTCTCCACTCATTTAACTCTCTCTGTCTCTAAGAAATTTATTGACCAAGAGTTTAACCATTGACCAGTATATAAAGTATTGAGGGTTTAAATATGCCTTTTTGGCAGACTAACCAAGAACAACATTTTATGGTGACCTAAAGTTTTTACAGCACTGCTGTGATTATTATTCAGTATGGCAGTGTTCCTCTGATGATAGCTGCCAGGATGGGACACATCAAGACTGTCCAGAGACTGTTGGAGTTAGGAGCCGATGTAAACTGCAAAGAAAAGGTCAGCTACTTGGTTGAAGTTGTGTATTTTTGGACAAAGTTTGGCATCAAGACCACTGGCTGGCAAAATTCATAAACACCCCATTGTAAAATGGTGGAAGCTGCAACTCCATACAACACCCTCCTGGAACCCCAGTACTGGCTGAAAGCCTTGCAAATGTTTTGTGCCAGTTTTGCCAATGAGGCTTTCTATATATTATGTCCTCACAATCTTACAGCTTGGACCGACAGCACTGCATTTTGCAGCAGAGGATGGTCACTCTGAGGTTGTCAAACTACTGCTGAGAGCTGGAGCTACTGACACACCTGATCAGGTATAGCCGGACTGTCACCTCTACTGACGTTCCCCATGTCTGTTGTGATGTGTGGGTGTCATGGTATACAGGATGGCAAAAGAGCTGTGGACAAGGCCAGAGCTATATAACAGTCGCAGAGAAGTGGAGCAGTTGCATAACTGATCCCACGAACCTCCATTAGGACAAAGAATTAGATCCTAAGCTGTTTGATTAATTGAACGATTGCCACAATAATTAAAGTGCAAACCCTCGGCGAACTGCGCATGTGCGGTACCCAAAAAATTGATGGGCTGGGCTATTAGTATTGTATGCGTTTACTCGCGGCCTCCCGTTAGTAGCTCGCAGAGAGCCTGACACGGGCTAGCTACAGTAGTAGATAGGGATCAACTGTAATATACAGACCAATAGCGCAACGCCTTCTACGCGTGTTCTAGGGGCCTGTGGGGATATAGGCAAGGGCGTGGAGCTAGGGCTAGGGGGTAGAGCTAGGGGCCAGGGTTAAGACTTAGCTATGGGCAGAAATACGCTACCGTGATCCGTCTTGTAGCGCTGCATTCCTGCCCGTCGGAACGAGAACTCCTACGTAGTCGCCGGCTGCCAGGCACACTGCAGACAGCGCTGCCAACAACAGCAAAATCTTCATCTTTCTCTCACTTGTCGCTCGACGTGATCACAGAGACACGGAAACAACCGAACGGAGACATCAGGTCCAGTCCTGCGTTCCGTGGGCTTTGTGCATGTCCCCTTAGCTCTACCCCCTAGCCCTAGCCCCTCGCCCTTGCCTATACCTAGCCTAGATCCCCACAGGCCCCTAGAACACGCATAGAATGCGTTGCGCTATTGGTCCGTATATTACAGTTGATCCGTAGTCGATACACGCCATTCGTTGTGACTTGTTGTGCCTTCAAGATAGACAGAGCAAGAGGACCCGGTCGAGAGAGGACCCGGTCGAGGTAAGCCTGTGCTAAATATAAGCGCATGCGCATTATCCGAAGCGATAAAAATGGCGACTACCATACAATGCTGGAAGCGCTCTAGCTTTGCAACGGAGCATTTTCAGAGAAAACCCCACACCTTCATTGCCCGTTGGGTAGTAGATGGTATCGTTTTATGGGACGAACAGACATTCGAGAGGTGAGATGTCGAGCAACAGACACACAGACACACGAAAAGCAAGTGCAAACCCTCGGCTAACTGGGCATGCGCGGTACCGCTAATTGATGGGCTGGGCTGCTATTAGTTGCGTTTACTCGTGGTCTCCCGCTAGTGGCTCGCAGAGAGTCTGACACGGGCTAGCTACAGTAGTAGATAGCATGCGGGAGTCGATACACGCCCTTAGTTGTGACTTCTCGTGCCTTCAAGATACACATACTCGAGCCTGTTGAAAATATAAGCGCATGCGCATTTTCCGCAGCGATAAAAATGGCCGACTAGCATTAGCCGTACAATGGCGGAAGCGCTCTAGCTTCGCAACGGAGCGTTTTCAGGGAAAACCGTTCTAAATTTCTGACCTTTGTTGCCCGTTAAGTAGGTCGTATCCTTTGTGAGACGAACAGACACTCGAGAAGTGAGATTGAGAGTAACAGACAGACACCCTCGCTGCGCATGCGTGCCGAGGGTAATAATATGTGAATATAGCGCTTGTGCCAACAAATCTCCAATAATCCCATCTCATATACTCAGGCCCAGGCAACAGACAAGCATGCCTGATCTGTAGGTGATTATGTAATCAATGCTAGTTGTCTTCAGTAACCAACCACAGTCGGGAACCAGTGTAGCTAGGTTATAGCTAACCGGAGATACACTGACCATACAATCATAACCAGGCTGACTAGCTACTTGATCCATCATCAATCTGCCAATGGAAGGTGAAGAGGTGAGAGAAGTAGCTAATCAACATACACTCTGTTACTGTTGAGTGGCGTGGTTGATGGTGGTAGATTCTCAAAGACTTTTGACTGGTGGTGCTGGGACTGGTGCTACTATCCCTGTTGCTGTGTTCCTGCTGGGTCAGGTACTGCTGCTGCTCTCCAGGCTCCATTCTTCATCATCCCAGACACCACAAGGTAGTAACTAGCTATAGCCTCATCATTTCAAACCATGCTGTGACTCACACACTTGTCTGAGCTCTGTATATAGCCATGTGTAAATAGGTAGCTACCTCTCTGCAGTTGCAGGAAGAAGGTGATGTGGAATACAAGAATTGGATTGAAATGAAGCCCGTGCAACACAATGAAAGAGAATTGTAACTATAATTATGTACATTCAGTAGTTCATTTACTTTTTATTAGTAGCACATCTCTGGAAGTTGCTTAGGGGGCAATAATTTGAGTCATATCTCAAACTACTTGAAGTGGTCTGAGCCATTGATGATGATGGAATGTGATTATAAAGGTGTGTCATCCTGATTTCCCAAAGACAGGCATTGATTATGCTAGTGTAAAATTCGGTGCCACTTAGTATTTTCTTTGCACTGTGCCAGTATCGCATTGGTTCTTTTGGTCTCCGTGCAGCAACTAAGCTTCATGCTTCCCTTCAGTAGCAGTAAAGAAGTCATGAAGTGGCTCAGAAAAGCTCACCACGTATATTTTGTTTTTCTAATGACAAATTTGCACCTCATGCAATGATTGTTGTGGCATAACATAGCTACTGATCAAGTGACAAGTGATGACCTGGTTGGATGACTTTATAAAACACACTAGCGGCTATATAGTGTTGCATAGATTTTCATTGCAGTAACTTGAGCATGGCGGCATGGCAATATAATTATTCTAATCGGACTGTACGTTTTAGGTGCTGGTTTAGTATTGGGTTGCATCAGAGGTGTGATAGCTATTCACTTTAATAGTTGTGTGTATCTTTTGTGTTAAATCCTGCAAAAATCGATGCAAGAAACAGAGCTCATCAGAAGATAATACCTAATAATAATGAAAAGCACTAAAGTGCAAACCCTCGGCGAACTGCGCATGTGCGGTACCACTAATTGATGGGCTGGGCTTTTTATGCCTTTACTCGTGGTATCCCGCTAGTAGCTCGCGGAGAGTCTGGCACAGGCTAGCTACAATAGTAAATAGCATGCGGGAGTCGATACATGCCCTTCGTTGTGACTTGTTGTGCCTTCAAGACACACAGAGCGAACGGACGCGGCCGAGGTAAGCCTGTTCACTTGGTTTTCACGCCATAACTTTAAAACACAGTAGTTTTACGAAAATCACCTTTTTTAAAATCAACCCAGTATAGCACTGAACCCGATCATATCGCTATTTACCTGATTTCGTGCGCGCGGTGGCAGAAAACGTGGTAACAGACAGACAGACAGACTGACAGACTGACAGACTGACGGACTGACAGACTGACAGACACACTTACGAGACAACTACCGTAACCCTCGCTGCACATGCGCGCCGAGGGTTAATGACGAGCAAACACAGCAGCAGCAGGTAAGAAATTCTAGTGTTCTCCTCCTTAATAATTACTAGTAGGTGAATGCACTGCATTTTTGGCGAGCGGGAGCGATCTAATGATTTTGTGCATGCGCAAAAAAGCCTGTGTAGTCGACCCCCTCTCTCCTCGGCAGACTCGGCGGCAATTCGCCTTGTCTGATAGCTTCGGATCTGTTGGAGCCTTGCCTGTTGCGTTTCCTCTGATTCCGCAGCACGTGTAGCTCTTGCTCGTACACGACTTCGCTAGTCCCCTTTCTTCCGTGGCCAGGCGTTGCCTTGCCCGTTCCCTATCACGCAGTCGCCGTCGAGAAAGACGAGCCTCTCTTTGCTCAGAAGTCTCACTGGCACGACGTTCTCTTTCCCTTTCTCGTCGACGACGAAGGGCATCTTCTCTAGACCGATCCATCGCAGAAACTGTGGTTGGCTTCCTCGAGTTATATACACGAGAAATCTACCGACTCTCTGATAATGCTTGCTAAAATAATGTATTGATACTGCCTAATTATGTACTATAATTATTAAACTGTGATGGAAATAGTTAGCGTGAGATCAATAATTATGTTATCATCTGACTGTCGAGGGTACCTATAGCTACAAGAATTTAATATTGTCGAGAAGTTGTTGTCACTCTGAAGAACTTTGACTTGTATAGACAGCTTCACTCATTACTAGAAAAGCAACAGGGAACTAGGAAAGGGTTTCGCTGGTCTATTATAAGACTTGGAACTTTCTGACTGCAGCATAATGATTAACACCACATCTCTACTTCTCTTCACAAACATCACATCCCATAACCCAGCATTTGAGTGTCCTGTCTCACTTCATTTTGTCTTTCAAATTCTATGTGAAATCAGGTTTTTTAAGACACTCTCTAATCATTTTCAGAGCATGTTTGGGGGAAAAGCTCAACCCTTTTGTTAAACTCGTTTCGAGGCTGTTGTTTGTTTAGGCTGTGGAGTGTCCTGTCCCACTTCATTTTGTTTTTCAAACTCCATGTGAAATCAGGTTTTTAAGACACTCTCATCGTTCTCAGAGCATGTTTGGTGGGAAAGCTCAACCCTTTTGTTCAACTCGTTTCAAGGCTGTTGTTTGTTTAGACTGTGGAGTGTCCTGTCCCACTTCATTTTGTTTTTCAAACTCCATGTGAAATCAGGTTTTTTAAGACACTCTCATCGTTCTCAGAGCATGTTTGGTGGGAAAGCTCAACCCTTTTGTTAAACTCGTTTCAAGGCTGTTGTTTGTTTAGGCTGTGGAGTGTCCTGTCCCACTTCATTTTGTTTTTCAAATTCTATGTCAAACAAGGTTTTTTAAGACACTCTCTAATCATTTTCAGGGCACATTTGGGGGAAAAGCTCAACCCTTTTGTTAAGATTTGCACACTCGATTCAAGGTTGTTTATTACTCGAGAGCTTACCACAGCAGTTAGTTTACCAGGTATGTTTATTACAAAAAGACTGTTCAATCAGTTAGTGCTGATTAGATAAACAACTATTGTTTATTTGGTACGGGAAACAATAACCATGGTGAGATTTTGGGATGCAACTCTCATTTTGTGCCAGATTAAGAGTGCCTATAATATAGGTCGCAGTTAGTTCTGTAGTAATTATAATACAGTTGTGCTACTGGTTTGCTGCTCAACCAACAATAACCACAACCATGAGTGTCTCTGCAAGAGTGTACTACATTGTTGGTGCTGTCGTTTTGGGAGTCGTCGGAAGCCTGATACTATTTGGCATCAAGCTGTGTCTGTTTCTATGCAAGGAAGGAGGTGTGAGTTTTCAAAATGTTCAAGGTGTAGTGTATTGATTGTGTATGTGACACACATCTTGAGGTCATCTGTTATGTAATCATGTGTAAGCATGAGCCTATATAAGCAGTTGTGATTTTAGTATCTTGTCTCCCGGTTGTATATACGTGTATGAGCTCAATAGTATTTTTCATATACGGGCTCCTCTCTCCACGTGGCCGAACGCGTGCTAGTTCCCGTTAGACCTCTTGAGTCTACAACAGGTTTTATGGCAGAAGGGGTTACTTGGAGACCACACTCCACAGGCTCTCATCAACACCATGGTATTCATGAATGGCCTATACTTTGCCCTTAGGAGTGGAAAGGAACATAGAGAGCTTCGATTCAATCCCTCCCAAATCTCTCTAGTAGAGCGGACTGGAGAGCGCCCGTACTTTGAATACACAGAGGATGGATCAAAGAACAGACCAGGAGGTCTGAGAGGACTTCGCATCGGACACACAAACAGTCAAACATCACGCAAACCTGACCGACCCTTCTCGCTGCTTCGTCAGGCTCTTCTCCCTCTACAAAAGTCGCTGCCCTCCAAATCCAAAGAGCAACTCATTCTACCTACAGTTTTGGTTTTCTCGTGAGCCCCTTGGGCACAATGCTTTGTCAAAAGTTGTCTCCTCAATGTGCAAATCTGCTGGGATTTCGGGGTTTCGAACAAACCATTCATTACGTGCAACGAGTGCCACCCGCTTGTATGCTGCAGGAATGGACGAGCAACTCATAATGGCACTGGGCATCGCAGCGTAGAGGGTGTTCGCTCATACAAGCGTACATCAGACCAACAGGAGCAGTCTGTGTCTGACACTCTTAGTCTCTCCAAAAGGCAAAAAGAGCACCTCCTACTACCAAAGAATCTACACCACAACCAACTCAGGCTGTTGCGAGCAACTTTCACTTTGAAACACCACCTACTGGTACTGGAAGCTCTGCAAACACTTTGGTTTCTATGAATGCATCTGCCCTCATCATTTCATTTCCACTCATGTCAGTCTGTTGTAATCACCTTCAACAAATAAACACAGCACACTTCAGTCCGATCATGCACTTCTAATACAAGGAGAGCCACTAATATTATCAGTTTCAGATCATGTTCTCCTACATGTAAAAATCATGTATTTATGTCGGGAAAAAAAAGGTTCACTATGAAAAAACAAGGTTCTCTATCATGTTTTCATGTTAGTTCTATAGCGTACGAGGTTTACTATGAGAAATCAGGAACCTCGTACCGACAAATCTGATTGGTCAGTTCAAACTAGCTATGCACTAAACAGTAGTATGGACAAGAACCAAGTGTCCCTGATAGAGAGGTGTCCTTTATTCAGAGGTGATATACTGTAGTATGGACTAGAACCAAGTGTCCCTGATAGAGAGGTGTCCTTTATTCAGAGGTGATATACTGTAGTATGGACTAGAACCAAGTGTCCCTGATAGAGAGGTGTCCTCCATTCAGAGGGTCCTTTTTCAGAGGTTTCACTGTGCACTGTGGTGATATTATTGCAGAGTGGTTGGACTCCTCTTCTCAGTGCATCACTCAGAGGTCACGTGGCAGTAGTGAGACTCCTGCTGGAGAATGGAGCTAATGCAAACCTCTGTCATCTTAAGGTTAGCATAGTATGATAATAAATGCAGTGGGGCTCCTCTATTCAGGATACCAACAAGACAATGTGAGAAAGTTTCCAGGAGTCCTTATTTCAATTGCTTGCAAGAAACTCTTCCCTATATCCCTCTTCATTTTAAAGAAAGATTTTCCAACTTGTTTATAGCTAGTAGGGAGGTGTCTTCATTCAATGACCTGCATGTAGCTAACTGTTCTTGTGGAGAAAAGTTGTCCTTATTAGAGGTTTCCTCATTTCGGTGGTATCCTATAGGGGGTCAACTGTATAGGATCGCTAGCTACCTAGTGTGTTGCGCTAACAATAATTTTCTTGTTTAGGATGGTTCTAGTCCAGTGTATATATGCAGCCAGCCAGAATGGCCACACAGATGTAGTGGACCTACTAGTGCAGGCAGGAGCTGACATCCACCTGGCCACCACTGAAGAGGTAATGCCCGTTAGACAAGCAGTGGTCTCTTCAGCAGGAGAAGATGCATGTACGGTGGGAACCTCCGAAAAAAGGGACAGCTCTGGGACACTGATATTCATGGGTGTCCCTTTTTTGGCGGTAATTGGGGCAGAACCAAGTGTCCTTTATTGGTGAGCGAAGCGAGCCTATACCTAGTCATCTGAATGCAGGTAACTACATAATTGCTTTGAATTTATTCATTATGACGGACACTGCACATACATATCATAATGTTCAACGTGATTCTGAATACGTGTAAAATGCATGAAAAATCAAACTGCTTGCTGCAGTCGCCAAGAATGTGTTGCGTTCCTCTAGTAGAGAGTGCATTCAGATCCTTTTTCATTCTCTCTGTTTATTCCCTCAACAGCAAGGAAATGTTCCTCTTGTGGTAGCTGCTGCCAAAGGACACACTGAGGTTGTCCGGAAACTTCTAGAATTAGGAGCAAACCCCAACCACCAAAAAATGGTCAGTTTTTAATTCCAATTCAATGGATATTAACTTTAGCTCTGCAGGAAGGCTATACCCTGTGTTTGCAGCCAGCATGAAAGGCCACACAGATGTAGTGGACCTACTAGTCCAGGCAGGAGCTGACATCCACCAGGCAAATACAGAAGTAATGGATAATAGATAAGAGTCTGATTATAATGTGTGTGTCATGTGACTCAGTATGAAATGGTTACTCTGGAGATAGCTGCCGAGGAGGGACATACTGACACTGTCCAGAGGACTGTTGGAGCAGGAGCAAACCCCAACCACCAGAACAAGGTGACTGTTGTATTTTCAGGTTATGCCATTTCCTTAATTTATGCTTAATACAGGTTCGAGGTTGCAGTCCAATGTATATAGCCAGCCAGAATGGCGACACAGATGTAGTGGACCTACTAGTCCAGGCAGGAGCTGACATCCACCTGGCCACCACTGAGGTAAACAATGCACAGCATAATAAATTATCCGATGTCCCCACATGCTCTAGGAATCTTCGTTCTTTGACATTTTGTTCATTGAATAAGATATTAGGTATAGCTATGCGAGGCACGGGTACATGTTGCTGCGCCGACGCCCGATGGCGGAATAAACAGCAACATACGACCATATGCAGGATTTATTGCCAATGAAGCCGGAACAAGACAGGTAGCGCTAGTATTTACTATTTCCTGGTAACGTGACTCGCAACAGCCAAAATTTTACACTGGGCTGGGAAAAATCAAAGAATGGCGGATCGCGCGCTTGTCTGTGTCTCCTTCGCTTCTGCACGGCTCTCAGCTGGTGGCGCGAAAAATTCTAGCGACCTTTTTTCGTGTGGGTAATGGAAGATTGGACTGATTACCGCCTAGTCACAGCCGATGCGCAACGCATCTTACGAGAAGCGCCGTGTCTGAGCGTGGGGAAAGGTGCGCGATCGCACTCCATCCAGAGGTAAGCGCCTAGTCTTTCCAAGAATGCTCCATCGGTGGAGTTCTTAGACGAATGACGTCCGAAGAAGCGCTCGGCGAAGAAGTATGTTCCGACACGATTCTGAGTGGCGTTGCCTCGGGGTAACATGCGAATCAGTCCAATCCCCACCGTAAATAAAAGGTCGTGCTATTGTGCACACATATTAGTACTGACTAAATTCCCACCAGTTATGACACCTGCAGCATCGCCCTAGCCACAAGGAATTCTATTGTCCTTTCCAATCAACACCAGTTATTGACACCTGCAACATCTCCCTGCTCCCTAACCACAGCCCAGTTGGCAGTTTATTTTGCGGAATAAACTTAGCAACAGGCAATAATAATAGCTAACCAGTGCAAAAGGGTAGTACATTTGTGTTCAAAGAGGGGTAGGGTTTGCCAGAAACTGCCCTTTACTGTGAGCCTGGAGAGTTACGTTCATTCTTATACTAGCCCAAGTCCCACTTCTCTGTATAAATAATTATGCACATACCGGCAGCTTGCACTCTTGGTTTCACCCCATGCTAGATATAATGAACACTTACAAGAGCAATCACAAGACACTAAGTCTATATTTTTCTCTTGTCCTGATGGTAATGCAGTGTGGCAGTGTTCCTCTGGGGATAGCTGCTGTCAAAGGACACACTGAGACTGTCCAGAGACTGTTGGAGTTAGGAGCTAACGTTAACTGTCAGGAAAAGGTTCTGACCTGTCATCCATGCAGTTTCTAGGGATGGCTTGAAGCACCAAAAAGGAAGAAACAAGGGGTCATTGCACAGCTAAGATGCACCAAGCTACATGACACCATCCCTATATCTTTGTCTCACAGTAAACTTTACTTGTGAACTTATATAACACAAAGATATATATAGGGATAGTGTCATGTAGCTAGCTTAATTCACAAGGGCCTGTCGTAAAACCAACTGATATTCTGTGCTCTGTATAATTTGGTCCACAGACTGGAAACACAGCACTGCACTTTGCAGCAGAGAATGGTCACTCACAGATCGTTGCACTACTGCTGGCAGCTGGAGCCACTGACACTCCTGATCAGGTTAGCCTGTTCATTTCATAACTGTAATAATTATAATGGTATTGCAGGGTTGAAATAAAAAAGTTATTTCAGCAAATTTTTACAGAGAAACCTGGTATGATTGCTTGTGTATCACTGTACACTAGGTTCCAGCCACACTACGGTTACAAACTTCTCTTTGCTGAACATCTCACAATGCAGGATGGAAAAACAGCTTTGGACAAGGCCAGAGCTAAAAGTCACTGAGAAGTGGAGTCTCTACTACTTTCTATCAGTACCTAATGTTCTGTATTACCCAAACCAATGTCGATTTTTGCGCGGAAATTCAGTATGTATCAGTCAGTGACAGTGTGCCGCGTTTGTTAGGGGGCGTGCCTGGCGGGCGGGATCGATCGAGGAACGCCCCTTTTTTATGGATGAGCAAAGCCCACTGAAAGAGAACCGCGACCGCTAAGTCGCAATGGGAAACAGGATCACTTCTCTCCTGGTATGCTGATAGTACGTACCTTTCGATTGCAGAGTATTTGGTGAAATTACACCCGGTTTACTTTGCTGTGCTGTTAGCTAAGGTAAAATGGGGGTAACTTCGGACACTACGGACATAACTCGCTATTCAGAAAGATTCGGGTACATTTAACTTGATTACTATCTACTAAACCGCTTACAAATCTTTATATAGCTACCTGCAAAGCGCAGCGTAATTTCGAGGCTGGTGTTACATTTACCTTATCTATCAATCTCGGTGTTGATATCTAGCTAGCTATAGTTATAGACACCCCCACAGAGTATCTCTCCGGAAAAAAGCAATGAGCAACTCGATGGCAAGCTTTCAGGGAGAGCTTCCCAAACAGCCAGCGGCGAGACAACCAATCCGCTGAGAGGTTACTCTAGCCCTTAGAAATTGCATGTGATTTTCTACTATGCATGATCTATCCCTTATGGCTAGCTAAAGGCATATTATACCTAACTTTACAGCTTTTGGCATCACCCCCAAGCTTGGTAGGTATATACTATTGAGCTACTTTTGATGCAACTGGAATAATATGCACAGGCAGTGCTATTTTTTACCAACCTGGCACGTGAACGGGGTCGGTACTATCATTACGCAAGGTCTAGTGTAACGGCCTACTGTCAGCTATATAGCGGGTTCTCGCTAGCACACTTCGATAGCCGCTTGCTCACGCATTGTATGACCTCAGACAGTGAATGACATAAGGATGAGTGCAAATGAATAATGTGTATAAGCAATGAATAAACAAAATGAGTATCAAGTAACATAGTTCAGTTCTCCATACGGCTTCAGGATTGTCCACAGTATCCAGTAGAGGGTAAGGTAGATTCAACATTCCGGGTCGTCTTCTATCTTCTTGTTTTCTTAGCTTGTTTCCCAAATCCAACCCATACCTCATTAGACATCTCACTGTAGCAGGGTCTGACCCGATCAAGTGCTACAAACAGTGTTTCTCCATCCGGTTGGTCTACCAGTTGCATTTCGGCATTAGTTGGTGTGAGGGAAATGATTCGATATGGTCCAAAATATGGTCGGGCGAGTTTCCAGGCCTTCCCTTGTGCTGCACTCGGAAAGTGCACCATTATATACGCGATCCTTCACTTTCAGCTTGGACACAGATTTTGGGTTGTCACATTGTCGTTTCTGCTTTGTTTGGGCGGCTTTGATGCTGTCACGGGCTGCTAGGCATCAGACAAATGAGCTACGAGCTCTGCTCCATAGTCCTGGAAATCCTATTGATAAGCAGATCGAGGGTGAGTAAGTGCTTGTGAAGTTGGAAGTACCGGTTCGTGACTGTACAGTATAATAGAAAGGCGAGGCGCCAGTAACTGCTAGCTACCCTGTAGGCAAATACGAGGTATATAGGGTATATAGATGCACATCCCAATCACGTCCGTACTTGGCGACACTTTTGGAAAGCATGTTGATCAGTGTGCTATTAAACTTCTCTACTCGTCTGTCGCATTGCGGTGATAGCCTGAGGTATTGACCTTAGTCGTTCCCAACAGCTTGCACATCTCTTGGACTAGAATTGAAAGGAAAGTGGACCCTCTGTCGTGCAACTACATGCTCCACCAGTAGACGAGCGATGGTATCAGCTTTCTGGTCCTCCACGCAAACATTTCTGGCCATTATGATTTAGATAGTCTTGGAATACCACGGCGTACTGGTTCACACAGATATTGAGAGCGGCAGTTGCAGTACGTCAACCCAACACCCATTATCTCAAGGGGCCACCAACTTGCGATCGACTTTAGTGGTGGGCGTGTTTTCCACCAGTACCTTCACTTGAGTACACACTAACAACTCCGGCAAAGCGACACACGTCTGCCCTCATATATACCTAACTCCAGTATGAAACGGTCAATGTTGCATGCAGCTTCATTCTGCAGTGATCTGCAAACTTCCCACCGTGGTGTTCCTTCGTCAACGTCATTCTATATTAAGACACTCACAGTCTGGGGCAGAGGGCTGATGTAGCTAGAGTACTCCATCCATTAGTCTGAAAGTTGTCTTGTTTTCAACACCAACCGTCTGTGCTGTTCTGGTTATCTCAATAGGAAGCAGTCCCTCCTTAAACCACGCGTGACGCCTGCCACCGTTGGATGTGTCCTATTACATCAGATTCTGGAGCCCCGCTATGAGGGGGTCAGTCTCACTTGTTGTCGCCCCTAGTGTGTTGGGACCGATCCACGGCATGTTGACAGACTGAAACAGAAACTCGCGAAATGGCAATAGGAGTTATCTTGACAGAACTTGGTTGCTCTTCCTGAGCGTGACGAATGTCCAGGTCGAGCTCCTGAATTTACTTGGCCCATCATAACAGCTTGGAAGATGGATTTCTTGGCCACACCAGCTGAGTGAGCAGTGATGTACAGGCTGCATTGTCCGTAAAAACGATACAGCAATGACCGAGTACATATGTGATGGATGGAAGAGTTTTGACAGCCATACCACCCCAAGGGTCTCAAATTCGGGTGATGGATGCACTTTCCTGTTCCGCAGCCGGATTCCGAGGAGCGGGATGCCAAACCTACACCTCCAGCAACACCCAACTTTAATTGGTGCTGCTGGAGGCTGTAGGTAAGTCACTGTCGTTACCAACGCTCGATTTTTGTTAGGGGGCGTGCCTGCCGGCGGATGCGATCGAGGAACGCCCCTCTTTATGACGAGCAAAGATCCAGCTGAAGTGCACAGGTGACCGCTAAGTCGCACATGGGAAACAGGATCACTTCTCTACTGGTATGCTGATAGTACTTTGAAACTTGTGCATTGCAGAGTGTTGGTGAAAAAATACACCAGGGCAGTTACGTTTACTTTGTTGTGCTGTTAGCTTAGGTAACTTGGACACAACAGACATAACTCATATGCAGAAACTGACGAGTAAGATTCGGATGTTATTTCACTTGATTACTTCCATATCTTCCTCGCGCGCAACGTAATTTCGAGGCTGGTGCTTACGCTATGAAGCTGCCGTTTGTGTACTTTTTTGAGACCAACCTAAACGTCGCGTGAATTTACGTAATATCGCGAGAGTTTAGCTAAACCTAGCACGACTTTAGGCAACACCGCATGACTTTAGCTAAACACTGCATGACTTTAGCTAATCGGCGCATGACTTTAGGGCTATACTCTGCAGATTTTTGCATCCGTTGTCGATTATTCGTGTTACTCATTCGTCTTCGATATTTAGCTAACGTCCGACGACCAAAGCCAAATGCATGGGTTTTTAGCTTGTAGTAATGCCAGTTTAGCTAAATGCAATGATGGATGCTAAAGTCATGCAGAGTTTAGCTATGTCATGCGGTGTTTGCTAAAAGTCGTGCGACGATTGCTATAATCACACGAGGTTTAGCTAAACTCTCGCGATATTTACGTAAATTCCACCGCGATGGCTGCACAAAGAGTGGGCGTTTCCCAGGTTTGTTTCATCAGGGGGAGCTCCCAAACCAGACAGCGGCGAGCAACTGTAGGTGGCATCTGCGACGTTCAACAGCTTCCTGAGAAATACTAATATTTTTTTTTCCCAGGGGGTCGAGCACACATATGAATTTAGCAAGGTGCTTTGTAGTGTGTGAGGTAAGGGGCGATTATAAGGGAACAGGGATAACAGATAACATGGGGGTAATGTAGTCAGGGGCAGGTGAGGATGTTCAGGGGTGCGTGGGTCGGAGTCATGTAGCTTAGGTTGTCTGCGTGGTTACACTATCTCCGCCCGATTTAGATCTGATTGTGGTAATAGTCTGGAGGTCTCCTCTGTTTTGTGGGGTATCTGCGAGGGAGGGGGCGGTTGCAGCCGGTGGATAGAGGGGGGTATCCTTGTCCAACCAAGTGTAGGAAACACTGTCATTACCAATGTCGAATTTTTTTTCCGCGTGGTGTTGGAAATCTCAGTATCGGTCAGTTGCAGGGTGGCGCGTTTGACGAGTTCCTCAATTTTTAGACAGTGCTGTTTGGTATATTACACCAAAATGCTGTGTGCCGCAATTCTAAATAATTATGCATACAATGGCACGTTTGCCCGCCACTGAGCAGTTTAGTTGGTGGGAGTCCTGGCGGGGGCGGGATCGATCGAGGAACGTTCCCCTTTTTATGGATGAGCAACGCCCACTGAAAGTGCACTCGCGGACCGCTAAGTCGCAAGGGGAGGGAACAGGGGGATCAATTCTCCTGGTTATGCTGATATTCTTCCTTGAAACTGTCGCTTCGATTGCATAGTTAATTTTGGTGTGAAATTACACCCAGGTACGCAGTTTAATGGTTGTGCTTTTAGCTAAGGCAAATGGGGGTAACTTTCGGCACACGGGATAATAACTCTCTGTTCAGAAACAGTGAATTTACTTACTTGATATCTACCAAAAAGCGCTTACAAATCTTCCTCGGTTTTGGCAGCGTATTTCGAGGGCTGGTGTTACGCCCCCTTTTACCTTTCAATCAATCTCGGTGTGTAACTAGCTAGCTACATATGTCATTTCCGTGATTTATTATAGACACCCCCACAACGTATTCTCTCCGGAAAAAAGTTAATGAGAACTCAATCGTGCTGATGGTGCACAAAAAAGTGGGGTTCCCAGGTTGCATGCAAGGTTTCTCCAGGGGTGAGCTTTCAAAGAGCCAGCGGCGAGATCGAGACAACCAATCCACTGAGAGGTTACTCTAGCCATTAGAAAACTGCATGTGCCCTTA